ATATAAACATGATTGTCTTTAATTGCCCATTCGATATCTCTTGGGTTACCATAACCTAAAGTTTTGTTGTGTATTGTTTACTTACTTGTAGTATATAAACATGATTGTCTTTAATTACCCATTCGATATCTCTTGGGTTACCATAACCTAAAGTTTTGTTGTGTATTGTTTACTTACTTGTAGTACATATAGACATGATTGTCTTTAATTGCCCATTCGATATCTCTTGGGTTACCATAACCTAAAGTTCTGTTGTGTATTGTTTACTTACTTGTAGTACATAAACATGATTGTCTTTAATTACCCATTCGATATCTCTTGGGTTACCATAACCTAAAGTTCTGTTGTGTATTGTTTACTTACTTGTAGTACATAAACATGATTGTCTTTAATTGCCCATTCGATATCCCTTGGGTTACCATAACAATTCTCAATCTGTAAACAAAGGTAATATATCTCAAATCCAATTAAATAATCGCCATAATAATTTTAATTCTATATGCATACTTGCGGCTGATTCTCAAAGGGCATGGTATCATAACAATTCTAAGTCATAATTAATTTCTGAGAAAAGTTTGCAAACACAGTCAAATATTTGGATTTAATAAATATTTATGTGATATAAAAATCTTCCAACAAGTCATATTTGAACAATGGACATAATGTATAACATCAAGTAATAACTTTTATTAAGTTTGACAGAAAGCATTCCATGCAAGCTGGTGTTTTGTACAAGAAGTAATTTAAACCAAATCCCCCAAAATAAGCAAAATATTTTTTTTCTAGTATTGATATAAAAGCTGAAAACAGTTACACGTAATTAGAATGCAAATTAACTATTTTCACAAAATATTATCATTTTAGCCTGAATGAAATAAAACATGACAGGAGCAGATAATTAGTATGCAAATTAGCTAACTAATATGCATAACTTATTAGAAAGTCTTATTACAATAATAAGTTTCAATGCATTAAGCGAACAGATAAAGATGCACACTGAATGTGCTAAAACTGTATATTATGTAATTTACCTAATTAATATGCATGGATTTGTACGCAAATTCAATCACATCGTGTGTTCATTGTGTTCATATAGTAGCTGTACCAAGTTTCATTTCCATCCAGGCTTTTGGGATAATAGTGGAACAAGTTTTGACACAAACAAATGCAGATGGACAAACTGTAGATGGATGAGCAGACAGACAGACAGACAGACATTAGTACAACATAACCTCCCATGTGTGCTTCACAAGTTACCCAAAAATAGAAACCCTATTGTAGTGAAATGAACAAATATGCGAGAGAACTACCCAATTAAGGCATAGACAAGTAATATGGATTGGTTTTGAAAAGGATTATGAATATCTGATTCTGATGTTGGAGATGGGGTATTATTAATAGTCTAACCAGTTTTGCTGTGTTTGCTAGTTGTAATACAGTTGCATCAGAGAGACAGCACTGCCTTGCATCATCTGTGGTGACTTTACTTGACGATACACCACCTTTATCTGTAATAAACAATTTACAATTATATTGAACAGAAGATACTTATATAATAGTATACATAATTTCATATTCTCTTCTGTACATGTATATAAAATACACTATGTATACCCCCGGTAATTGGGTTAGGGTAATTTACAAATCAACATTCAGGGTGAATGACATGGTTTTAGTAGTGCAAATTTCTTCATCTGTATTACCGGTATGTAGAAACATACATTTCGTTGTTAAACCATATATTTCAAAAATTGATATGCACCTAGTAGATATTTAACAAAATATCCAAGTTTGACAACAATCAGGAAACAATTCAATTATTGAGATACTGTATAGTCATAAGCAAGAAGGTTACTTTTTACAACATAATGGAAAATATACATGCACAACACACCAAAATAAAACTTGGCAGAAAGTTCATAGTTATTTAGCAACATATAAAAATGTCAGTTGTTGTGATCTCAATAAACAAGTTTACAACAATATTCAGGGCCAGCTAATACAAACAACAATTGAAATAGCTGTCTTTGTAGAGTGTCTTCCTCAAAACAAAGTTGATAATGCTCTGTACAATGAAATATTAACTATTTGCCATGGTTATTAATGTTATATCACATCCATGTGAGTATATTTGGTTGTTATTGTCATTGCAATTACAATTGTTATCTTGTTCCAAATCTCACAGAGGCTACATACCAGGTATCAAAACTGAAATGGTAGTTGAAAAGAAGTTTTAAATATAATTTTTTGTGATGACAGCAGAGCTATATAGCCATTCGGTCCCCATAATTTTCCCCTTCATATTTTGCCGAAAAAAAAAAAAATGGAAGTTACTTTGCCACACACCTGCAATCAGCATCTGCTCTTCCTTGGAACCAATTTCTTTGGATAAAATATCAAAACGATCACCATTCTTGCATGCTAAGGTTATAGTGTCTGGTTCTATACTTCCTGATACTACAGACTAATAAGAATCATATATCAGGATTACATTGTATCAATCATTTAAATTATCTCATTTTAACTAATTGTGCTGTACAAATTACATTATGACGTTATTGTAATGTATTTTACTGTGCGAGTTCATTTGACAACAGCGCCCTCTACATTACTTAGTAACTAAGCTATTTTTAGATTATGCAAATAAAGCTGTTCTGTACATGGTCGCCATTTTTGGATTGTTGTTAGGTTGTCTGATGGTTGATTCTTTTAAATACACAGCAGTTATCAAACATAGAGCAGTAACTGTTGTTATCCAGTCTTATATTACAGTGATAAATATGGTATTATTGCACAATTTGGTTTTGTAATGCCCTGTTTGAGCACACAGAGAGATGACGTTTAAACTATTTATGTCACATTTAGCATGAAATATCAGTGAATGATCACACCTTGGACCATATAACATACACCACATAAAAATTATATCTATCTATTTGTATATAAATCATACTGCACTGTATTGACAGTTAATGACACCTTACCTCCCCCAGACCATAATTAGCATTGATAACCATCTGACCAGGATGACCTGTTATTGGATGCCTAGAAAACAAAACACCTAACAAAGACAAACCAAGATCACAATAATTTATAGGTTTTAGTCCGAACTGTTTTATACAGTAGATAGCGAGATGTAACTATAGCTGTAATGTCTGATATACTTTCAATGGTATGAAAACAATTTGATACAATATTCTACCATCTTGAATCACTTGGCCATTTTAAATCTGATTTAAAAAAGTGAATGACATGAAGGTTCCATAATGTACAATATATTATGATTGATAGAAATCTGTTAATACATCAATACCTGTTTTCTGAACAACAACTATATATAAACCAATCAAAAGAATCATATAACCTTATCCATAAACATCAGCTGAAATAATACACATGTACAAATTAGTACCTGCACTCTGTGCTGTGACCATTTCCTGTATTACAACAGCCATACTGGATCTTACTGGTTGTCCATGTTGTCTATATGAAGAAATTATATGTATAACATAAGCACCATATAGATATTTTCACAGCTTTATTAGTGATAAAGGGTCATTTAAGTTACTCCCAACAATGATCCACAAACTCTCACAACAAACAAGAATAGTTGATGCAGCAGAAGCTGGTTAATGACCTGACTAATGGAATTCAAGCTATAGTTTAAATAATAAGTATTGTAGTTGTGAAAGATTGAGATGAAATCGGTGTTTTTACGAAAAGTTAAATAAAGGTTGAATAAAGTTGCCAATTCGATAAATATAAACATTGCTGTCACTGTGACAATTTGTTTTATTTTATACAATACCCTATTACCAGTTTTTATAAGTTTCTTTGTCTATAGTTAGATTTTAGTGACATTGGGGCATAGTGACAGTTGAATAAAATGAATTAGAGCATCATGACTGCAGAAATCAAATGAGCAACAATATTGAATGAATCACATAATGCAACAAAATCAAATGAATTGTATGGACAGTATTGAAAAATCAAATGAATTAGAGCAACACTAGTGAAGGAATCAAATGAATTAGAGCAACACTAGTGAAGGAATCAAATGAATTAGAGCAACACTAGTGAAGGAATCAAATGAATTAGAGCAACACTAGTGAAGGAATCAAATGAATTAGAGCAACACTAGTGAAGGAATCAAATGAATTAGAGCAACAGCAGTAAAGGAATCAAATGAATTAGAGCAACACTAGTGAAGGAATCAAATGAATTAGAGCAACACTAGTGAAGGAATCAAATGAATTAGAGCAACACTAGTGAAGGAATCAAATGAATTAGAGCAACACTAGTAAAGGAATCAAATGAATTAGAGCAACACTAGTGAAGGAATCAAATGAATTAGAGCAACAGCAGTGAGCTACTTTATTGATGAAATCAAATGATTGTGTCACAAATCTGCTACATGATTAAGAAGAGAAAGGAATGTTAACCTTCTATACTGTACAGCGTGGTAAGAATACTGTGATGCCCAACACTTGCATACAGCTTTGAAAATCTACAAAACAAAGTATATAATTAATGAATGTGTTAAGTTTGATTGAAATCTACCGAAGAATTTCAATAAATATTAGTAATGAATAGATGAAGACAGGAAACTATTACTGTTCTACAGTATTATTTAATAGCTTATATGACTTGTTGCTTTCCCATCCATCAATTAATTAAATGCATTATTTGTTTTATTTAGCTTAGCATTGTTTATCATACATTTGTCATAGATTCAAAATAACTTATGACTGCTCATTTTGCTCACTGTAGAACCAGTTGACAGACATACTTCTAGAGCCTTGATGAACTGTGTATGAAACATGACCTGTACAATTCTCACCTCTGAAATTCCTTGTACACCTAATTCAGTTCTCATTTGTCCAGCAGCAGACATTTCACTTGTATCTTCACCTGTAGTTCAAATAAAAATACAAATTATATTCACTGCCCTCAGATTATACATGGTCATACATCAATGATTTTTTTGATTTTTAATGTTAAACGTTCAACTTGGGACAATCTGAGATTATGTTACATGGTCACTGAACCCCCTCCCCACCACTACCACCACCACCAACATCAAAGGACAATAACAGATTTGAGTTGAGTGATGGATAAATCCTACCGGGTAATATATTGACATAATGCCAATAGATGAAATATTCTTTTGCACAGTATAGCACATGACATGATTCCACCATTGTTTATTTTGTATTTTTCACCTTGTAAAGTGCCAAAGTTGTTATTTCATATTGTGTTCGATGAGACATACAACACACTTAAAAACATTGTTTACATGAAATTTGAATTTGTACTGTGTGGTGAATATGGTGCTTTAAATCTAATATATAGAGCCAAGTGACTGCATATATAACAGAAAAACAAAACCAAGTTGGCTTGGAAACAGAATCATCAACACCGTCACACTAATTGACATGTGCACATCACAAAACTTCAAGTTGCAACTTGTATAACATTTTGGTAATTTAAATATTTGAGTTGGGAAAAATATATTTTCTAAGAACATTTTTAGTTTTATGTAATATTGGCAATAAGTTTTATTTTCTTTATTTGACTAATATCAGAGGTACATTACTTGTGGTTTGCAACTACGGTGACATGATACCAAGATCCTGTTTCAATCTTGCTCTCGCATAAGCGTTCCAACTCAGAAAAATGCGAATGTGCATTCCTGAGGTAACTGGGATGTCCAGGTGGATCAAAATAGCTGCTCATGATATGAAGGAATACGATAACTATATTTTCTGTACATTTTCAATATATTACATTTTTTCACTATGAATGTGGTATTACATGTTTTATTGATTATTACAAACCGGCTATGTCATGTCAGAAGGTCGTAGCATCAGTCTCGCTATCTACGAGATGAGACTTGAATGGGATCTTGGCATGATGTCACCATACAGTACGATGCACGTTGCAAACTCCAAGTAATGTACCTCTGCTAATATCAACATTTGGATTTATATTTTATTAAAATCATACACACCTACAGCTGATGATCTCACAGCAAATAGTTTATTTTCCAATTCCAGTCCAAATATTTCTGATAATTCATCTTGTATACATTTTTTGGCGATATCTGTCATTTCAACAATTTCAAATTGTCCACTACATCTATTGTAGTTTCGTAAACAAAAAATATTAAATAAATATATAAATTTAAAAATTTCTGACAGACCTCAAAGCACAATTTAGTATACAGATAGGGTTAGACAAAAGTGTAGCAACAACCAAATAAATAGAATAAATAAATATGACATGAAATAAATTAAAACCTACATTTGACAAGCAACTTCCAAATCTCCTTTTTTCAATCCATGAGAAACATTTTCAATTTCTTCCAGCAATTTCTGTAATTTGTCAAACTCCTGAAAAGCCATATTACTATTTTAAAGTCACTGCTTCTAATTTCAACAACAACGAGCAGTAGTAACAGTTCTACTGCCTCAACAACATACAAAATAAAATACATGTATGTACAACATGATACAGAGTTGATAAAAGGCAGTGGTTAAAATAATAATAAATTTAGGAAGCAATCAATTTCTGTATTGCAATAATATCACATTATAATAGCATAGAATGTTAGATTTGCCATTGTCATTTTAACTACAAATTCAGACAAATGACTCTGAACTATACATGTATTGTGGAAGTTACACACATTAAATTCAGTTGTGTGATAACAGAATTGTTACATTAACAGTCGGCCATGTTGAATCTGTTTCAAAAAAAATTGCCCATGCATGCCTGAATGGGGATTGATTAGTATCACATCTCTTGTACTGAACAGTATCCTTACCTGTATATGTTTTTCAAATGCTGTCATGGTAACACAGATACCATTAGGTACTGAGAACTGCAATTAAATAGAATTAAGTAACTGTAAATGTAAAAGTTTTTGACCAGCGCAACAAGTATCAAAGATAATTAATTTCAACCAACTGGCTATGAATAAAAATTGATCAATTTAAATTTCTTTATTTTTTTAACTTCACATAATATTTGTCAAGAAAATGATCAAATGGTACAAAAACACAAAATAAAATAATTAATTTGAGTTAATTGAAATCAAAATCAATCAATTCTTAATGTTTCATAAACAAAATGCTAATTTGTTAGCCTCTAAACAAATTTGCAAATATATTGCTGAAAGGGTTGCTCATACATTATGCCTAAAAGTGGTCACTAACCTAGGTGGCTTTATTTAGAGGTGGTCACTAACTAGGTGGTCTTTATTAAGAGGTGGTCACTAACTTGGTGGTCTTTATTTAGAGGTGGTCACTAACTTGGTGGTCTTTATTTAGAGGTGGTCACTAACTTGGTGGTCTTTATTTAGAGGTAGTCACTAACTTGGTGGTCTATATTTAGAGGTAGACACTAACGAGATGATCTTTATTGAGAGGTAGTCACTAACTAGATGGTCTTTATTTAGAGGTAGTCACTAACTTGGTCTATATTTAGAGGTAGTCACTAACTAGATGGTCTTTATTTAGAGGTAGTCACTAACTTGGTCTATATTTAGAGGTAGTCACTAACTTGGTGGTCTATATTTAGAGGTAGTCACTAACTAGATGGTCTATATTTAGAGGTAGTCACTAACTTGGTGGTCTATATTTAGAGGTAGTCACTAACTTTGTGGTCTATATTTAGAGGTAGTCACTAACTTGGTGGTCTATATTTAGAGGTAGTCACTAACTAGATGGTCTTTATTTAGAGGTAGTCACTAACTAGATGGTCTTTATTTAGAGGTAGTCACTAACTTGGTGGTCTATATTTAGAGGTAGTCACTAACTTGGTGGTCTATATTTAGAGGTAGTCACTAACTTGGTGGTCTATATTTAGAGGTAGTCACTAACTTGGTGGTCTATATTTAAAGGTAGTCACTAACTTGGTGGTCTATATTTAGAGGTAGTCACTAACTAGTGGTCTTTATTTAGAGGTAATCACTAACTAGGTGGTCTTTATTTAGAAGTAGTTACTAACTAAGGTGGTCTTTATTTAGAGGTAGTCACTAACTTGGTGGTCTTTATTTAGAGGTAGTCACTAACTAGGTGGTCTTTATTTAGAGGTAATCACTAACTAATTGGTCTTTATTTAGAGGTAGTCACTAACTAGATGGTCTTTATTTAGAGAGGGGTGGCAAGGGGGGTAGCTGGTACAGTTTTACGGGAAATAAAAAGGGCTTTTTACAATTTACAAGGAAAAAAAGACGTTTTTACAGTGTACAGTCAAAATTGAATTTTGCAGTAAATTGTGTCATCTAGTCGTTTTACAGTTTCCTGGAATATTCTTTACGACTTTTTTTTTTTTTATGTAAATTCTTGTACGTACCGAGAAAAATGACACATGTTTACAGTGTACGAAAAAAATATTTGATTGATTATGTTGTATGTCTAGCCTGTGATTACAGGATTAGGAAATTTATTTTTTCTATTTACGTTGTACGAACAAAAAAATATTGCAATTACGTTGAACGAAAATAACCCTTGCCCCCCCCCCTTTTAGAGGTAGTCACTAACTAGGTGGTCTTTATTTAGATGTAGTCACTAACTAGATGGTCTTTATTTAGAGGTAGTCACTAACTAGGTGGTCTTTATTTAGATGTAGTCACTAACTAGGTGGTCTTTATTTAGATGTAGTTACTAACTAGATGGTCTTTATTTAGAGGTAGTCACTAACTTGGTGGTCTTTATTTAGAGGTAGTCACTAACTTGGTGGTCTACATTTAGAGGTAGTCACTAACTAGATGGTCTTTATTTAGAGGTAGTCACTAACTAGGTGGTCTACATTTAGAGGTAGTCACTAACTAGCCTAGGTGGTCTTTATTTAGAGGTAGTCACTAACTAGCCTAGGTGGTCTTTTTTTAGAGGTAGTCACGAACACAGGTTTGACTGTAGGTGGTGGGTGTTTCAAAGCAACCAGGTTATATGTCTATTGTCTATTGCAACCACCAAGAAAACATATTTTAGAACAAACATCCATGACTGCTCATAACAACCAAGTTATATGCTTAGCACCCCTACATTGCTGCTTACAGCTATGTTTTACCTTGTTACTTGTGATTCTCTGTAGTTGACTTAATACTGCTAGTTGAGATCCTTTACCTCCTACTGCATGACTATTTTGACAGTCAAGTGAAGCCAATGGTAAAACCAGTTTGTCCTCATCATATTGTCTTTTCTGATCTACAATGGAAAAATATGAATTTGTTATGAGTAGTCATAATATCGTTTATCTTCAGTACCAGTCATCACCTGAGATTGAATTTTATGTTACTGGTTAATTTGTCTTGTTTTTTTAATTTATATTTTTATTCTGACATTGTCAATAAATAAATTAATTGTTCACTTCATGGAAATCTTTTTTATTTTTCTACAATTTTGAAAAAAAACAACCTTACCTGTAGGTAAAGGAGCAGGTCGAGTGACTGGACAACCATCACGGTATCTATATACAGTATTGAGATACAGCA